TAATAAAGCACGGGTGATACGAGCGATCTTTCAACTGAATGATATGTACACATTTCATTACAATCATCATATATATTAGTTTTTGGAACAAAAAAGAAAAAAAAAACGATATTCATCTTTTTTAGAGTTGCCATGTAAAAAAGAAAAAAACACTGAGAAATGCAAATACAGGAGCAGTGGATACAGTAGCAAAAAATTAAGAAAATATCTTGAAAAAGGATGAATATCACAGAAAATTTACGAGGGAAAATAACTTCAATTCCTTGTTTTCCCAGGTGTATCCTATCAAATGGGGATGGCTGCAAGAATCAAGGTGAAGCCAAGATCACTCCTGTACAATTTATTTATCTGTCCGGATGACTGAATCCCAGAAATATTTGAAAGCTAGGAAGCTGAAATTTCGCAAGCAAAATGCCCAAATAACACTGCATGATGAGGTCATAAACTCAGAAACAAACATCACACGAAAACATCAGATTACAGGTAAAATGCCCTAACCTGTACCTGGTAGCGGGTCGCATTTACACATTCTAAATAGGCTAGTTACTTGTATGGGATGCTGCTCGTTACCTGTACAAAACGCTGCTCGTTACTTGTATAGACTTAGAAACAACAAATATCAACTTAGAAAAAACGCTTTTTTTCGTGTCTCAACTAGTAATCACAGATCCAAGCCCAGATTATTGCATAGCTAAAAATTGTAGAATCTAGATTTTTGCGTAGAAAGTTGGAAATTTTAAAAATTTTGGGACATTAATTCATTTTACAGGCCAGGTAAAATGACTTGTTAATCAGTTTCCAACCAACGCTTTGAGTTGACTTACGAATCTATTTTCAAAATTAGGCTAAATTTAATCTGCCCATAAAAAAAGTTATACGCTGATTCCTTTCAGAGCCCGAAGGGGGTAAAAAAATTCTCGAATTTTTATAAATGTGCTATCAGCTTTTGAGCTTTAGTTACATCTTGGATTTGGACTTCAGCGCCAAATTCACACAAAAATCCGTGAGTCAAAAACCAAAAAAGCTAGAAGCTAGGAATTTTTGTAGATTAAATAAGTAGTTCGAAAATTCAATGTCGAGTGGCCCACCGATTTTCATATGAAAAAAAAATTTCGAAATTCCGTGTCGGAGCAACCCATCGATTTTCATGCAATATTTCAGACGCTTATCGAATTGAGCCAGAATGGATACAATCTACGTTGAATGAAAAAAGACAAATCTTCAAAAACAGCATAAATAAAATCTAAAAAAAAACTTACAAAGTTAAAGCAAAAATGAGTATTTCATGTAAAATGAGTCATATAACACAAAGATGTGGGTGCTAGCTGGAAGCACGCAGCTCAGAGCACGTGGCAAAGCGGTACCTAACAATTTGCTGTTATTCGATAGCCCAAACTGACAGTACTCACGATTCTCACGATTCTGGTAATCTTGGTAGCAGTGTTTTAGAGACCAACAAAACATATGCACCATCATCATCTAATCGGACAAATTTGCACGCTGACGTTCAATCAGTTTCCGCACCTGAAAATAAAGTAAAAAAAATCCCTTATTTTTTAAAATATAACCAAACTTATGTAAAAAAAAAAAAACAATAAAATCTCCATGCGCAAAAAATTCTTGTTATCTGAGAAATATTCCTTTATATTTGAGAAATAACGAAAATTTCGTAAAAAAAGACAAAATTCCCAGCGTCTCCGTTCATTTTTTACAAAGGAATTCTTCAAAGAAAAAAGAAAAATCTAAAAAAAAAATTTAAAAAAAATCAATCTTCGGGAAAAAATACTTGATGCGATGTCCAATAAATAATAGTTACATAGCAGAGAAGAACAATATGTACTCGAATATACAATTAATTTGTACTGGAATACGCAATTACGTGGTGGAATATATAGTTACTGGAACTTAATTATGTAGAGTGCAATATATAATTACTGGAATAATGCGTATACAAATTTGCGCCGGAATATATAATTATATAAAATTATTTTTAAATCCAATTCTTTTTTTTCCGCACTTTCGTATTTTCTAACTTTTTTTTTCGAATGTTTTTTTGGATATTTCGACTTCGATACTCCTTTCCTCACCATGTTTCGCCTCCTACTTCGTCATAATTCAACAATAATGATAATGATAACGATAAAAATAACAATAATGATAATAATAATAGTAATAATAATAATAACAATAATAACAATAATAATAATAACAATAATAATTGTAACAGTAACAGTAACAGAGATAATAATAACAATAATGATGATACTAAAATAATAGTGATAATAAATTCATCATAATTCAATTCCTCGCTTCAGTCTTGTTAGCAATAGATGTTACAAAAAAAGCAAACAGAAAAAATGCTTACCTCTTGCCCCTCCTCAATCCATTGTTTTTGCTCCGATTCACTTATTCCTTCAATTTTTTCCACATCCACTTTTTTCAAAAAACCATATAAAGTTGCATAAAGTTCGGGTACCATTTTCTGTGTTAGGCATAGGCAAAAACGTGAGGAAAGCAGTTGGCATATCGGGAAATACAGAGCTGTTGCATCTTCCGGGAAACTGAATCCATAAAAACGACTTTCCGAGATGCGAAAACCGTTATCCTGATACAAATTCAGTGCCGTGTACAGGATTTCTAGTTGCCTTTTTAGGGGGCCGGTGAAGAAAAGCAGTGAAAATTCATGCATCGGCGTACGGCTCGCTTCCTGCGCTTCATAGATGAGCTGATAGCAACGTATGTTGTGAAACATGAATTGCTGGAAGAACGAGTTCTGGAGCGCCGAATTTTGGCGCCCTTCAACTTGGGCGCAATGATAACTCGTAAATGCAACAGTTGCTTTGAACTGTTGTAAATTCATCTGTACGCAACTCAGCCGGAACTGGTCACGCTGCCAACCAGAGAACGGATTTTTGGCGCAATCCAGTGATTCTTGCAAGATTTGATTCAAATTTTCGCAAAAATCGACGACATTCTGGGTCAACAATCGAAAGCCACACAACAAAAGTTTCAAATTCAGTGCTAGCGAATCCATGAAATTCCCGGAAACAAGCTCTTTGATTAGGCCAGAAACGGTCTCCTGG